CGGACGATCGACAGCAGCAGGGTGTACAGACACCTGCTGCCAGCAACATACTGCAGCAGCAGCAGCAGCAGCAAGAGCAGCAGCAGCAGAAGCGGTAGTGAAAAAGACATCAGACTACACACCAACGAAATTGCTGCAGCTAAAAGCACGACCAGTGTATTCCTGCTGCTGCTGCTGCTGCTGCTGCTGCTGTTGCTGTTGCTGTTGCTGCTTCTGCTGGTGCTGTTGCTGGTGTTATTGTTGCAGCAGGTGTAGGTGTTGTAGCTGTTGGTGTGTGTGTTGCTGCTGCTGCTGCTGCTGCTGCAGTAGCTGCTGCGGTGTCTGTACAGGGCATACCTTAAGGAAATCTGCAGCAGCAGCAGAGCCAGACAGCAGCAGCTTCATCAGCTGCTGCTCCGGTTGCTGCGGCAGCAACGCCTGCAGCAGCGCGGCCAGCAGCGGCTGCAGGGGGCGGACCTGGAAGGTGGGGGTTAGTTCTCTTACTGCTCGCTGCAGCACGGCTTCTATTGCTGCTGCTCGTGCTGCTGCTGCTGCTGCTGCTGCAGACACACAGTCCACAGCAGACCCTGCAGCAGCAGCAGCAGCAGCAGCAGCTGCAGCAGCAGCTGCTGCTGCAGTTCCACCTGCTGCTGCTGCTGCTCCCCCGCCTGCATCTACCGAGAGCCGTCTACGGCCAACAGCAGGCTCCCCAGCAGCAGCAGCAGCAGCAGCAGCNCAGCAGCAGCAGCAGCAGCAGCAGCGTTGTGTTGCTGCTGCTGCTGCCGCCCCCCAGCTGCTGCTGCTTTCCTTGCCTTGGCTAGTTCTGCTGCTAGCCGCTGCACCCGCTGCAGCACGCGCGGCAGCAGAAAGGATGTGAAGAGCTCTCTGTAGCTGTGGTGGCGGGGGAGGCCCAGCGCCTGCAGCAGCGAGACAACAGCAGCAGCACGAGCATCAGCAAGACCCTGCGTTTGCTGCCAGCGTCTGCATGCTATTATAGCCGGAGATGCAGGCGCTAAACTCATCCCTGCTGCTGCTGCTGCTGCTGCTGTTGCTGCTGCTGCTGTTGCTGCTGTTGCTGCTGCTGATGATGGTGGTGGTGGTGGTGGTGGTGGTGGTGCAGCAACACCATCACCGCCGTCCCCTCCACTGTCTCTGCTCTCATGCGGACCTGCTGCTGCTGCTGCTGCTGCTGCTGCTGCTGCTGCTGCTTCTGCTGCTGCCAGGCCACTCGAACGGATCCGGCTGTACATACTAGGCCGCGCATATCCATGGTGCTGCTGCTGCTGCTGCTGCTGCTGCTGCTGCTGCATAGCAGCAGAACCCCTTGGGTCTCGGGCCCCACAAGGCTCGGCAGAGAGCGGCGCCCGCGATAGCACGTAGGCACCTGCAGCAGCAGCAACAGCAGCAGCAACAGCAGCAGCAGCAACAACAGCAGCAGCAGCAACAGCAGCAACATAGCACAGCTCCATAATAAACAGAAGCAACCGAGTCGACGAAAGACCGCAGCAAAAACAACAGCTGCTGCTGCTGCTGCAGCTGCTGCGCCTGCAACAGCAGCTACTGCAAATGCTGCAGCAGCAGCAGCAGCTGGAGCTTCTGCTCCACCGGCAGCAGCTGCAGCCTCTAAACATCCTCCCGCTGCAACACCAGGCCCAACAGCAGCAGCAGCAACAACAGCAGCAGCAACACCAGCAGCACCAGCAGCAAAGGCAACAGCAACAACAGCAGCAGCGACAACACCAGCAGCAGCAACAGCAGCAGCCGCAACAGCAGCAGCAGCAACAACAGCAGCAGCAGCAACAGCAGCAGCAACAGCAACAGCAGCAGCAGCAGCAGCAGCAGATATCTTACGCTCAAAGAACTGCTTCAGAGCCAGACGGCCAGCGGGGCCGCAGTGGAGGCCCTCGGGGGGCTGCAGCTGCTGCATGAGCTGCCGCTGCAGCTGTCTTCTGTGCTCTTCCTGCTGCTGCTGCAGCAGCAGCAACTGCTGCTGCTGCTGTTGCTGCTGCTGACGGGACTGCTGCTGCTGCCCGCCCCGGTGCTGCAGCTGTGCTGCACCTACAGCTGCTGCAGTGCCGTCGAGTTGCTGCTGCTGCTGCTGCGCCAGGAAGGGCAGCTGCTGCTGCTCCGCTGCTTCTCCCCATGGCTGCTGGTGTTGCTGCTGTTGCTCCCCTTGCTGCAGCACAGCCTGCTGCTGCTGCTGCTGCTGCTGCAGCCCCCGCTGCTGCTGCAGCAGCGGCTGCTGCCACAGGCAGGCGGCGGAGGCCTGCAGGAAGTCGGGGCTCCAGCCGCTTGCCATTTGCTGCGGGCGTTGCTGCACATGCTGCTGCGCTGTCGAAGCAACTCTCCACCGGCTGCTGCTGCTGCTGCTGTTGCTGCTGCTGCTGCTGCGGTGGGCCTGCTGCTGCTGAGCTCGCGCAGCTGTTCCGTGCTGCTGCTGCACTTAATATAAAAGAGAAAGGCAGCAGCAGGCATTCATAAGTTGTTTTTGCTGCTGCTGCTGCAGCTGCTGCTGCTGCAGAGCTGTTAACCCTTGTGGTTCTGCGCGGGCTGCTGCGGCTGCTGCTGCTGGTTGTACTACAGCTCTGGCTCTGAAAGAATTTGTGTTTTGTTTTTTAATTATAAATTAAA